TTCACAGCAGCTGAGCATGTTGGAAAATGCCGTTTTGTTCTCTGGATTTCCCGTAAATAATAATAATAATGTCTATTCCCAACTTGTGGGTGGTATACCGTCTGGCACGATCATGCGTTTACAGTCAGAATGGGGCATGACTGGGGGAGTTGCTGGTAGTGCGGATTCCGCGAAAAGAGGACAATGTCATAAACAGTGGGAATTATTCGATGAAATAATAATAATGGGTTTCTTTCGCAACTTGTAGGGGACAATGGTTATGAGGACGGACTAATTCAAAGACTCAGTCGGCTGACATGAAACAAAACTGAAAAACATTGCTGGCCGTGTGTGACCTTGGGCGGTTGGGTAAATGGCCGGAGCCACAACGAGAAAAAAGCGGAGGTGGAGATGGGATAATTCGAATTGGGAGAACATGGCAAGTTTAGTCTCAAAACTATGGTGCAATCTGAGAACAAGCAGACTTACTGGTTGCATTGTTGTAGGGAGGTCAGATGCAGGGGGTACAGAGGTGGTTGAATTCGAACGAGTAGACCAACAGGTTTAGATGAATGTCATAGAGGCAGTTGGGGTCATTTGAGGAGTTTGCCGTATTCGCGGTTGATGGAACGAGTAGGCAAGAGGGCTCGGTTGGGAGGAGGATTGAAACAGTTGCGGGTGTGCTATCAAACTGAGTATGACAGCGCCGTGCCATCATTGGTCTGACATGCTTCAGTTTTTGAACAGCCCTGTGATGGACGCCACATTTGAGATGATTCGGCTGGAATGTGCAGTTAATTGGGCAGCGGTATTCATTTCAGCCTGGTCGAGAAAACAAGCTGGAACAAAGCCGATATGGGATTGTAGGTTTTCTTGGTCCGTTTGGTGATCCCGGGGTTGTCGATCGTAGGCCAGGTGAAGTGGATATCAGCTAACCAGGTGCATAACTCAACCGAGGCGAGCACAACACCAGTAGCAACAAACAAGTCTGCAGTACATTTATGATTTCCTGAATTTAAAGGCCAGACTCAGAGCCACCGGCGATGGGCGATACAACCGTGCTACTGGAGGGGTGGCGGGTATACGAACGCACCATGGTGCAACGTAACAGGGTGACCCTCCCTGCAGGACGTACCCATCCACCACACGAGGTTTGCTTCTCTCATGCATGCTACCAGATCTGCAAGGTGGAAAAACATCCAAGCAGTCACAAGTACGGTTTGTGTATTATTAAATTCTCCAGCAGCCATTTTTATTCAAAAAACAGCTTAGGCATTGAACCCTGTTCGCTAGCTTTTGGTAGGTTCAACTGGCCACTGCTATTTTGGGAGTGAACACTGCATCGGCTTCGTGGATTTTTTGATAATGCTGATGTTTTTCTCCGCCGAAACCGATCAGGGTCTAGGCCAGTGTGCCAGTGTGCTGTTCAAAGAAAAAAGTCTGCGGGCGTCAACCACTATGTCTTAGATGGGCCTAAATTACCACTTGATCGTGGGTGATAAATTGACCCAGAAAGGATGCTAGTTAGTCAGCGCCATATCTGGTAGGTACGTCGATAAACTCAGCCTAAGTGTCATGTTGCACGTGTTTGTTCAACTCTGGTACACGACTTCCACCAACTCCGACCTGCTGGAGCTCCATCCAGGAGACCTTGGGATCGTTAAAGTCACTGACCGGCTAAAATGCGAAAGGTAGCGGCCGAGGTTGCCGATAAGTATCCATGAAGGACTTGGGGGCGAATGGAAATGACGCCGGGAAGAGAATCGGTCCCATGCAATGGAATCTGAATCCATTGTGTACCACATAGGGACGCGGACAGGCAACTCAACACAACTTCTGGAAAATATATCTAAACCATTCCTCAAAAATATAACTAAGGAGACACATAAGTTTAACTGGCATTCCATAAAATGCAGAAACACTATAAGTCAGAAATCCGCCGGTGAACTATCAAAAAACAGAGCACGATGCCAGACTTCGCCCGGAACGGCAAAAACGTACTAAGTACATGGGACACTCTCGGAGAAATAAACTGGAGGCCCTCCGGTCGGTGACAGATACAAGCGGCCCACGAGTGACCCGATATTTTTGTCCTGAGCCCACAGAAAACATTATTCAGGTTTGTATTCCGCCGCGGCCATCTCATCAAGTCTAACCTTAGCCTGGCGCAACCACAAACGGCTTTTAACCGGCTTTGTCCTCACGGAGAAAGACATTTGTCAATTCTTGCCCAAGACAAACCCTTCATCGCCAGGCGACGTCTACCCAGGAACCCTGAGGGAGATGTCATTAGCACTGGCAAAGCGCCTTTACCCGGTGTATCGAAGAAGGCAACCTTCCGTTCACTTGGGACGAGGTGATTTTCACACCAGACTACAAAATTGGTGGCCTACTGCCGCCAGGCAGCCACAGGCTCATTGGGCTCACTAGCGTACCGCGCAAGATGGTGGAACACATTCTGAAGGCGGATACCCTAAATCACATCTGCAATAAAAACTCGATACTTCCAGTGCAACAGACTTTCCTCCCAGACCTTCATTGCGTGACGAGCACGCCCTCACTTCCAAGGATGAAGGACTCGTACGGGGTGCCGTAAGATCAGAGCAGCCAAGAATCTCACAGAATGATTGTGGCTTTCGAAATCTGCGCATTTTGTATCCGGTAGGCAATAGGAACAGACGGACGAGGGCAGTAGGTGTTGCTTTGATACTTGTAAGGGACTGGCTCCTCGAACAAAAACGTTAATGGGCATCGCTGATTAACCAAAAGTAGTCATTATCAGCGCTATCGGTGGGAGTAGGAAATGGTCACTGATGTCAAGGCTTTTCGAAGGTACCAGCAAGTAAGTACCAAATGATGGACAAACGGACAGATACGGGCAGTCAGTCGCTGAAAATTGATCGTATAGAGAAGTAATGGCCCAGAAAACAATCAAAAAGTTAAAGAGGTCGAAAACGTTCTCCGGATGACGGTGCGATGCACCAGTGAATAACACCCTCGACCACCACCCGAAAAGCTCCGTGTTCGATCCTCGGGCGGTCCGTTTTTTCGTCAGAGCCCACATTAGAAAATGGGTAGGACTGACACGAACTTGCAAGCGCAAACATCCAAGCGCCAACTATTGACATCAATTACTACAAAATGGACACACCCTAGGCAAAACCCGGGGGAAAGAACGGCGAAAAACAAAATGGCGCTATAACAAGTGGGCGTAAAATACCTTACTAACGACTAGTCACAGCACAAAAGAAAAACAACCTATGAATCAACACGCGTCCCATTTTGACTCCTTGAAAGCATCCTACGACTCCCCAAGTCGCGCTGCGCCACAAGCCCGAATCTTACGAGATTCGAGAAGAAATTCTAAGCTGGATTCAGGCGTTTCCAACAGGTAGAACATTCCGGATGAAACCAGGCTCGGGACACTCTTTGTCGGCACCAGTGTCAATTAAGAATCCTCAGGGCTCCTCTTTGGGACCACTTCCGTTTTTGGCTTATGTCGGTTGTCTCCCAGATGCTCTTTCAAGTTTTTATCTACTTTTGCGGACGACTTGACATCCTGGGGCACCAACGCCAGCGCCCCGAAAATGGATATAGACTCCGCAAAGCATTGGTTGCTGGAGTGGTGCCTTCCTTGGAACGGAAAATAGCACGCCCGTACGTCGTTCGGAGGTGACCTAGTGCACGCCGCTGCCGTACATGGTAAGAATTGACCAGAAGCCATTACGACGGCAGATACCAAAGGGATTTACATATCTGGTTCGCTTCAAATATGTCCCTCTCAATGCACCACGAGAGATCGGTCCAAGAGGCATCCATCGTTCTTCGGATGGTTCGGCGTACCTTCCCCCGTGTTAATCGCATGCACTTCCGGGACTACGCCAGACAGCTTCTTCAATACGCCACCAGAGTTGTCTAATCTGAACGCAAGAGGGGCGTAGCCCTCATTGACCGTATCCAAATAGCCGCTATGAAAATGGTTGCCGGCCTTAAATCCATTGATTATGAAACGCGTCTCGTGTTGCTTAACTTATTTACCCCGGAGTATCGTCGCCTCCAAGGGGAACTAATATTTACTTATGCTATTTTTAAACAATGTTTGACCAAGAGGTTTTTCGCCGTTGACCCATGGTAAGAAAATTTTCAAGTTCATAGACCACAGATTCATCAGAAAGCAATCTTCCGCACTTCGGGTGGCTAAAGTAGGAAATATTTTTCTTCCAACAGCTGCTCACGCTGTATCTAGCAACCAGCCCCAAGCACTTTTGGACGATTTTTATGTGAGTTATCGTGTTGTCAAGTGTCCCACACTTAGAACTTAAAGAGCGGCGCTGCACAATTTTTCTCGCCTGTGCCTTTCAGACGAATGGACGTCACTGAACGACAGGGACAAACCCGATCCCGGGAAGCTCGATTCTGTGTAGGGACCCATTAGCCACACAATGTTCTTAGCTGCAAGTGAAGTAAAACCGTTTGCGCCAGAATGTTGCATTTTGTCACGTATGTGCTCAAACCAAGAACCATCCTAATTTACGTCCATATTTTTGCAGCTCAGCAAATCACATTGTCCACTGAAGCAATCATTCCTCTGGTGAAAAAGACTGGTGGAATAATTTCCAAGCATCGCTGAGACCTCAGGATGCCTAAATGGGGCTCACAAGTTTGGATTAGTACCCTGAACTCAATTTCCAGATTGCTTTAACCCATTAGAGACAGGTCATGGCTTTCGAAAATTCAATTCCATTGTGCGAATACTGAGCTCATTCTGAGTATCAATCAGTGATCAGAGGGGTCGAGCCGCCACAGCCAATGCGCAAACAAATGTCCTCCCCCATTTCAGCCTCTCTCTCCGGAATGACGGACAATGTTGATTCCTTTAAGATCCAACTATGTGAGCCCCCTGCTTTCTGCCCATATAAGCACCCAATGAACCTGCCCCTACTGAACCTAATGAGCTATGGACCTGCTAGACTTTAGTTGAACTCGGGTTGGAGCACCCGGCGATTCGTTTTTGTGCTCTACGCGCATGTTGGTCGGGCTGTCTGCCAGTTGTGCAGATGGTTGTTTTCCGCGTTCATGGATAAAGCCCATGGGTTAAAAAAACCCTGAATTTCTGTGGTTATAACAGTTTCGCCATTGCTGTGTCCATTTTTGGTCGCAGAATATGTTTACGGAGTTGGATACTACACGGCTGCCAGATGTAGTCGCTGCTGACGAAATTCCTGACCAGACAGAGTCATCCTATTTATTTCCATCCAATCTACCAAGACAGAATTTAGCAGGTGGGAGGGGAGTTTTCGCAAACTTTTTTGAGGAAATGGCGGGACCCGGGGCGACAGATGCTCTGACCAACCGAACGCAGTGTAACTCAAAAGAACCGAACAAATGTGCAAGGTTTGAAACTCCTTTTGCAAAGGAAGGGAGTGAGGATGATTTCTATGTGCTCAGCGACCATGGATATCCCATGCAGGCCTTTTATGATAATTTGGCGGACAACGACCTAGATATTTTGGATCAGTACAAACACTTTGTTGATCGTTCGAGAGAAAATTCAACTCCGATCGAACCATATTGCTGCACGGTAAGCTATTTTAGGCAGTGCTTTTTTGTTTGACCTGATCGTAGCTCGACTTCTTAGAATATCATAAATAGCCTCAGTGAGGGTCGTTTGAAGTTTGTGACTGTCCCTCGCCATCTCAAGCACGGATAACCAAGTCCTGTGGAGTTTGCCAAAGATGTACTGCCTATACTGCCTTCGCAACAGTTTGAGTTAAAAACATGAGATCACAGTTAAGTCGCATCTTCTTAAGTACCGAAGTCTGGCTTCGGCTGGTTCTGTTTTTTTGCTTTGAACAGAATATGACCTCCCGAGGCTTTCGCACAGTGTCACAGGAGGGCAGTTTTACTACATCATACTAAGCGGTAGTTGAATGTGTCCATCGTTTTGAGTTTAAGAGAACCTACGACCCAGCATGTTTGCAGATTTAGCTCACTAGGTCACCAGTAGCGGTTAATCACCAAACAAATGCTGGGCGTTCCATGTTTCACATCAAAGAGAATCGATTGAGGATAAAACTCCCAGGAGAACAAGTTCTAGGGCATAGGTAACATGAATCTTGGTTTAAGAATTAGCAATAGTTTAGAGGTTAGGCAGATTTTTTGGAGTGGTGCTGGGTCCACTAAACATTTTATTCGTGATCTCAGTGCGGTGGGGTTTGGGTCGGTTGGAATTCATCAAGCAGTCTTGCAGTTGACTGCGAAGCGCGGCTCTCCAAATCATACGTCAGACTGTTGTTCGGCTGTCACTAGAAATGAAAGCCGATACGACTACTGGTATCTATTTTGAAAGATTTTCAGATGTGACCATCTTGAAGGCGATCCCTGGAGTTGGTGTCGATGTTCCAGTCTTGGGAAGCTGCCCCGAAGATTCCTGGCTATAAGGTTAGCAGTGAGCGAGCTAGGCGTAGTTAGGTTTGACAAAAAACCTGGGACGTAAGTGCAGTTTTTGTAACTTCTCACAGGAATAAAGTATATGTTTATTGCAGCAAATTGTCCGCAGTAGGCTAGGCTGAACTCGGGATGGTGCAGTGCTTGAGGCGCGAACATACTGACAGGAAGGTCCGTGGTTCTAACTCGACCTCTTCATCTCGACTGCTCCTCTCTAGGTCTGGGCAACCTGGCAGTCTCCCGGCCCTCGTTCTTCCTTCGGGTGATATGGTATTTAGGTACCGAAAGGATGCCACAGGTGAACTATTATATTTTTATTAGTAGGTTAGGGTTTTCAGTCTTCGGATTGGTTTACTTGTTCTCCTACTCTAGGTTTTTCTCGCGCTTGAGCCATGGGCTGTAGGCCTGTACAAGTTACTCAACTTGAAATCCGGTGTGAGCTATCTTACTGGGTTGACTGGAGTCGCATCAGACGACCTCGTAGAGCGACGTGTCCATTGGGTGTTCGTTTGCTGCCTCAGCATCATCATCATCATCATCATTGTCAGCTGTAAGAACCGCGTACTCGTCGTACACTGGTTGTAGCTGCCACAGTTTCGTTCACCGATGATTGGGGGCGGGTAGGTAGCTGCGCATTGCACGCGCGAGCTGGTAAATTGGTGCATAAATCTAGCACTGTCAGTGGGTTATCAAGTGGGGGTGGGGGGTGGAAAGGAGCTATGCATTGAAGGCAATAGCTTTGATGCATGAGCGCCATTGAGGGCGCGACTGGGCCATGTCTGATAATGTCTCTAGCCATTGATGTGGCCCGTCTCGGGGTCCCCATCCAGGAAGACGGCAG